ACCCCTGACATTCTGTGATTCTGTGATTTAGTGTTTGGGTATGTCACCTACTTGATTAGGATTCATGTGCTGAAATGACTGTTAAAATGTTAGGCATTAGTCAGGGGGATGTAAGAGCGACTCCATTCAGTGTGCTACATCCCCAGAAAGGTTTCAAAAAATACTGTCCTGTTCTTATAAGTGGCACGTAGCTAGGTTATCCATCCCCAGAAGGACAAATGCCACGATACAACGGGGGCTGTACTGGCAGGAAAAAAAGGACAGAAACATTTTCTTAAACAGCAACTGCTTAAAGATTCGTTACCTAGAACTGCTCTTACCCACGTAGTAGTTTTAGTGTTGTGGTCGATGAAGAAGGGCCTGCCGTTGGGCGCTATGCGCATCTCCCAGCCCGGCGGAAGGAAACTTTGTGCCACTTTGTGCTGGGGTTTGGGGGAGTTGTAAGGCGAGGGCTGCGGGGACTGTGGGTTGGAGAGGGTGTCCTTCACCGCTCTGCGCACGGGGGAGTCCTTCATCCCCTGAACGGAAGGAAAGATACTATGAGTTGTCAAATGACGCTCAACACCGTACAAAGGATAAAACTTGGTTTCACAGCAAGTAGTTTTGCATCCCAGATGTAATTGGTAGTAGAGTGAAGTGCTGGGCCTGCTTCCCTAGAACTTAGCTCAGTTCTGCTCCGTAGAACAGACCAGGCTTTTTGCTGCGAAGGACAGTGTTTTATCCCCTCCCTCTGCAATGGTAATGTCCACTGCATTTACATTTGATTATGTATTTCGTAAAGATACTTACAAGAAATGAAATACCTTTTTGAAAGGCAAGGAATATAAAATACCATCAGCATCTTAATTCAAAGCTTTTTCCAAACTCAGTTGCACGTATTATTTTCAAAATTACCAGCATCAAAATACATGTTTCAACTTATAGAATATTTCTGATTTTATACACTCCTAGCACTTCTCACCTCCAGCGGCGCAGACAGCGTGACGGTGGGGGAGCTGAGGCTGCGAGGCCGCCTTATCTGAGGCTCGCTTAAGTGGTTGCTGCTGTTTGCTGTCGACCCGACCATGCCGTCTTCTGCCAGCTAGTTCAGAAGCAAAGCCAGGTTAGCCACACGTCGCAAACAGTTTAGCCAGACTTAAGACACTTAAAAAATGATGCGATCATTTCTACCTATTACAAAATATTAAATGTACTTTCTTAAAGATCAGGTATTTAATTCTGCTGGAAGGGCAGATAATGTCTGGTACTGTTAACAGACCAACCCAACTTTCAAATGCATTTGCCTCCTTTTGTTAGTTCCCAGCAATCAACTTGATCTGTACCTTCATATAGTCAAAAGAAGTGACAAAAAAATCCCAAGTGTTGCTATTTTTTATATTGTCCTGACATGCTTAGGAGTTTTTCTAACCCCTCAGAGTTCTGAGGAGCTTCTTCAACTGAAATTACCCTCAGTACACGCTAAGCGTTTGCGGCCTCAGTTAAGGATGGTAACAGATGGTCACACCTGCATAATGGGCCGTGTCCATGTCGTGGTTCGATTGTTGTGGTTGACGTAGTAGGTGCGGCCCTTGGCATCCTTCCGCTCCTCCCAGCCCGACGGTAAGCCCGGTGTAGTGTGTACGTAGGCCACGGAGGGCTGGTCAAGCAAGAAATGACTGCGTTGTTACGTTATAATAGCTAAAGTCTGTTGTTCAAAGAAGGAACTTGTTGACTTACGACATTCTTAAACACAACAAACACACTGAAAAATCTGGTTTCTGTTTTCATTTACTACAAGCTCTTCATCATGCGCCTTTGAATCCACATCATCCACACTTGGAGCCCCTGCGCAGACTCCTGAGAGCAGGGATACGCTACGCCACGGCCTCTGTCTCTGGGTCTTTGGCTTTATTCACCACCCTCCCCACAAAACCAGGGAAGAAGTTACTCCTTCCCTGGGCAGATAAAGAGCCCTTTGTGTTTGGTGAGCGCTGCGTTCACCAATACCTATGGAGTGGAAGAGGCCTACCCAGCAGCCCTCGAGGGTGTGAATCGCACCGCACAGCAGGATGCGGCAGCTCTCTCACTTTAGGCCTCTGAAGGCTCCTGTTGAAACTGCAGCTACACGCGCTTTGCTACAGCAGAGTAATTAACCGTCACTTTGTTACTGCTTCATATTCTTAAGGCCTCTTTCCCAAGACTTTTGCTTAAGCCTGTACATTTGCTTTTGAAGAGAAGAGCAGAGTTGAGCTGGAGAACTGCTTAGACTATCAAGAAAGGAAATGACAAAGACATCGAATGGGTCAGGGAGCTGACAAACTGCAATGGGAAATAGAGAGCAAAGGAAAACAGATGAGGCAACTAAGCAATACCCATCCAAAAACTACGACACTCTGGCTTCCTTCTTTGCTAAACAGCCGAGCGCTGCTTTCCCACTCGCTGGCAGGCAGCGAGGAGCAGACTGCCTTTTCCCAGGCCCTTCTAATGGTTCCCAAACTGTTACTCAGTGATCAATAAGGCCACAGTAAGTGCCTGAAAACAGTCCACAGACAATGTTTTAGTTAAAAATGAGATAATTCAGGTACCTGATAGCCTGGGAGAAATTCAACGGGCTGACAGTGATTCACAAATGTCCTGGACCAACAGGTGACTGCTACACATTCTTACACGTTTGCTCTGTTCAGGCTATTAACATTGCCTACAGTACAGAGCAAACAAAAGCTATGGCTAATTCAGAGATTTTAGATTAAAAAATTGAATTTAGCTGGAATAATACATAATCTATTCATTCATCTATGTTGGCCTGCTGCAAACTATCAGCTTCAGCTGTGAGGGTGCAGAAACACAAGAAAGATGCTCTTGTTACGGCACCTGATCCTTCCTTTCTCTTTAACGCTCTCCCAAAACACAGGGAGCTCTTGGCAGCCTTTCTCCCGACTGTTCCGCAGGGGTTAACGCAGCCCCCGCTGCAGTCAGCAGGCCAGTCTGCCCGCCTGTCTCCATAGGTTAGATACCAGCAAAAAAGACACTATACTACAGTCTTCTACCCCAAACCTGAATGCTTTTAACCACTGTCTTCACTAAACAGTGCGGGGAAAAGCAGCAGAACATCCTGAGAGCGGAGATGCTGGGACACACGGACTTATGTTCTGCTCGGACAAAGAGAACGGCAGCCTTTGAAGGTAATGCTTTCGGATTTGTGTGTACAGATCCTTTTTCAGTGCCAAGTCCTCTACAGCTCTGGGTTTCAGACTACAAATGCATGCTGAACCAACACAGTGAGGGAGAGGGTCCCATTAACAAGCTGCAATGCAATTAGGTTAATCATCTGTGACACAGCTGTATTAATTATGAGTCAGTGAAGTTTGACCTCAGTTATTTGCAGAAAAATGTAAATATTTTGCTCTAGAAAGTATAATCAAGACAAGATGCTTTACCAACAAAAGACCTTCTTCACATCACAGTTCGATCTAACAATGTTTTAACTAACGTTTAACGAGTTAAGCAGGTTTTGCAAGGACACAAAGACATTTGCTATTCGCAGGAACAAAACAGATGCACGCTCCTCCGATTCGCCAATTCAAAACCCAGCGAGTACTGACAGTGTTACAGAATGATGCATCGACACCCCAGTTAAGATCTGACATTTCCACATATAAACAGGAAACACGCAGCGCCAATTCGAAACCCAGCGAGTACTGACTGTTACAGAATGATGCATCGACACCCCAGTTAAGATCTGACATTTCCACATATAAACAGGAAACACGCAGAGTTAAAACTGTACCTCTTCCCCTGAAACTAATTACCTAAGAGCATACATACTCATAAAAGCTATTTATGAGAGTTACTGTAAAATAATTTCCATGAAATACCTCACTTCAAACTGACATTTAATCAGGCTAAAAAAGAAGGGGAATTTTTTACAAAGTCCAGTATAAATAAAAACCACTTTCCTTGTATTACACCTGAAGAAAAGCACTTCCAGAATTTTACTGGATGATCAAAGTAAAAATTCAGCCTTGGACTGCTGAACAACTACTGGAAAATGAAAACTGGCACCAAATAAGACCACTAAGAGCTATAGGATATATCAGTGCACCTCCACGGTTCTCGAATTTAGATCAACTTTAAGAATTAAAATGAATTAGTCTAACGGACAGTAAGGGAAGACAGATGCAAGCTAAAACCACAGCTGTGTGTGTACTGATTTGATGTCTCTAATCCCTGACTCTTACCATACCAGTTTTTAAAGAATTGGGGGTTTTACCTTTCATTTTTAGAAGTCTATGGTATTTCCTTAGTGCACAGTTTTGATAAAACTTAGTGCCATACCCACATCATCAAGACATGCTAGTGTGAGAGAAAAATTGCGGTTTCTTGAGAAATTCTGAGAAAATTTGAAAATGACAGCAAAGTACAGCTCTTGATTCAGTGGCCGTACTTCATTTACCACACTGCTGATTTGTGAAAACAAGTTCCGTATTGTACAAGACCTAAACCTGCCCACTTTTTATTTAGAGACAGTGCTTGATAAAGAGTATTATTACCGTTGGTTCCTCACCACCTGTGACAGTTGAAGAACGAGCTCTCCTAGATGGACCGCTCTGCTGTTAAATGATAATTAATGTTACATGTAAGTGTATTTAGTGATGAAGATCACAGATTACTGTCACATCTTTAGGAGGAAGGAATCACAGACAGTCCAACTGATTAAAAGAGAGCAGTTAGATGGAAATAATGCTTAAGACCGTAGCAAAAAAACTGAGCCATCACTCACTGATAACTAAGTCAGAATCTCATACAAAACCCACCAAGGGAACTAATTTCAAGAGGTCTCATATCCAACTCTGTATGTTCAGTGTGGCTAAAAATAATAAAAAGAACATTTGTTTTAAATGTGACATCCTGTCTTCTTCCTCACCCCTTGTTCCCATCAAATTTTATATGTTCTGCCCATAAACATGGGATTTAAAACCAAACTGGATACTTTCTGGTCATCAGTGAGTGCACAGAAGTCAGATGAAAAAAGGTGGAAGGGATACTGTGAATTTTCAGTAAGGATTAACACAGTCAAGAGCAGCACTGTAACTAGAAAGGATGTGTGTAGTTTCTAGAAGATAAATTGTCACTCACTCGTTATGGATTAAATGCGGGTAAGATCAGGTAAGAGCTGTATTTTAGAGCAATGCTTTCAATTCTGCTGGTTTGAACACCTGCACGATTGCACCAGAAACCACACCAGGGTTTGCCCAGCAGAGAAAGCCCAGAGAGAGGCAACGCGCCAGGAGCCCTTCTCTGAACAGCAGCTATTACACGCGTCTGAGCGCAGCAAATGTAGATAGGCTAGACAGCTTCTAGAACGTGAGGCAATTAAACCGAGAGAAAAACCCTACGGTTAGTGCAATCCTGTCTGAAGTAGTGGCTCCCCAGCCTACCGCCTCTGCAATCCTCATACGGGGGTTCTAGCAGAAAATACGTAGAACTTTATCAATTAGATCAAAGGGGGGCACTTACCCAATCCCTCGGATTAAAGAAACACAAGAGGTGCAGTTCTGTTCAGTTCTATGGCAGGAGGCCTAGCACAAAAAGGCTCCTCTAACTACCCCTAAGTGAAACACCAATCCTTTTTAATGTTAGACAGGTTTGTATCTTCCAGGTAAAATCAATTGATGGAACGCAAAACCACATTTCAGAGTCCCACAGCTGCTACGGTTCCAAGGATAGATGGTGCTACTGCCCTCTCCTGCCCCAGCTGAGAACACCCCTTGGAGGATTTTCTCTCTCCGCTGACCTAAACTTCTGGGTTAGGTAACTAAAGTTAGTGCGAGTCCTGCTTCGGCGCGGAGGCTGGACTAGGTGATCTCTAGAGGTCCCTTCCAACCCCTAACACTCCATGGTTCTATGCTCCCAGTCTCAAAAGGTTTTTCTCTCTCATGGATGTCCTCATCTGAGTTGCTGCCCATGATGATATCAATTTGGTATCCATCACTACCTGGGACAGTCATAGGCCCATGCTGGTTACTGATCTCTATCTGACTAGAAATGCCTGAGGAAAAGGAATTATCCGGAATCACTGAACATTGAAATAAGAAGAAAGAAATAGAAGTTAGCTTTGTTTTACCAAGGATAATTGAGACTGTTCAGCAACTGTGTCTGTTACGCTGCAAGATCTTAATCTTGAAGAAGGATCTCTTTGCTGGAAAAAAAAAAAAAAGAGATGTCTTTAAGTTAAGGTGTCCTAAAATGTGTGGGTTTATTCAGTAATTTTACTTTTGTCTACATTTAGCCTTTATCTGTGGCTAAACTAGAGCAGTTACTCTGTCTGCCAATGACCCCTGCCCAGCAGAGAAGGGGGATCAGGAAAAGATGAGACCTACAGGCTGAAATGAAAATGGATTTAAGGAAATGGCAAAACTAACATTACTCCTAAAGCAAATCTACAGTGCCCACAGTTATCACAGCACAGCAAACGCACAGCAGTCACCCTGAGCGGGACAGCCCTCCTCGGGAGCACAGCGGTAAGCGGGAGCGAAGGGGGCCTCACAGGAACATCCCGCCCAACGGCCTGGCCGCTTCAGGGCTCAGTAGGCCCCGATCTTGCCACTGAAACAATTTGATTAATCTCCTGCCCAACACGTGAAGGTCTACAAAAATCTGCAGCTACCAGCAAAAGCAGACGGGTAGCCGTCGGAGCTGTCATGGGCTGACTAACCTCTACAGAACACTCAAAGCATCGTAAGACACTACTGCATAGGCTCTGTGTGAAAATCTTGCACCTCAATAAGGTTCAGTTTAATCAGACCAAGAGTATCTATGATTTGTTCTCTCTTGAATTGTACAGGTCCTTGGTGACATACAGCAATCATTAAGTAAAAATAAAAATCACAGCATGATATTCTGGATAACAATTACAACCGCTTCCTGAATAAAAGCACCGTAAGACTCACAGATCTAAACTGAGTAATTCTGTTGTTCAGGGCAGTTTGCTCTCTGGTGAGATTATGACAGAAGATAATTTTAACTGTGTGCTCAGGTTCTCCTGAGAGCAGCAAGCACTACCCATCCCATGTAAACGATTCAGACTACGTCAAACTAACGGAAGATTCCCGTAAGAGAGGCTTGTGTGGGAAGAGCAGCATGCCACATACGATCAAAGAAGCGAGTTGTTCCCCATTGGAATCGGGAGTGACTTGAAGTCTTCGGCTCAGTTCCTCAGACAGCTCCTGAGGGCTGGTGTGGGACACGGGAGACGCAGGCGGCGGCGGCAATGACAAGCTTAGGGAATCTCCACTTGCACTTGCCTCCTCTGAAATGGTTTCCCAAGGCTAACAAAAGAGAAAAAACTACCTTAAGGAGTTATAAAAAGATAGACTGAGCCTTCTTGCCCTTTGCCTTCCACGTGACCAGCTCACCGAGACAAACAGTGGTGTGATCATCAGCCTTTATATTTAATTAAATAAACTGATCCCCGGAACACACAAACAAACATTCTACTCAGTGTGAAGCAGTCACAGGGCAAAACGCTGACTTCCAAATAGTCTTCATGGGGATGATGGCACAATGCTTTAAGATTCAACACAGAAAAAGAAGTAGATGAAAAGATGCTTAAAAAGAGCTCTTATTAAATAAATTCCACGTCAAATTTTATTCAAAATGTAACTCATTCTGCATTCCTACTGAAAGCTTGTAAGAAACAAGCGTTGAGTAAAATGCATAATAGAAAGTACTGATTAGTATCTGCAACTCAAATACTAACTGCTGACAAGCGCAGCAATGGTTTCAGCAACCTATGGGATGCTCTGAGTAACATTTAGTGAAACAGAATGAGCTTTCACAAAGAATTTTGCCTGTGAATCACATAATAAAATATTCCTTAAGGTTAAATGGGATCAGAGTTTTGCACAAATTCACACTTAGGCCTACAAGTATCTGCAAATTACATTTATTTAATCTATCTATGAATTAAACAAACACATACCTCGATTAATAAGATCTCAGAATTCTACTTAAACCCAAGTGTTTTGGGGACAAAACCCTGACAGCTTCCCTCTCCTCCAACTCAAGACACATGAACACCGAAGCAGTTCCGGACAGCATGCTTCCCCTCTTTTTACAACTTACGCCGCCGTTACTCAAAGTAGAAGACTGGAAGTGTGCCTATCAACGTATGTGTAACAAGCAATGCCTGGAACTACAGCTGTTTCTCCCAGCACTTGCATAGTACTGAACGCGCTGCACACATTCTGAGGCACCCACAAACGCACGGGACATTCAAACTGTAGCTCTCTTCAGCGTTTTTATCGTGCCACTGCTATTTTACTAAGGCAATTTACAAAAACATTACTATGTAAGTGGTATAGAAATTAGCTTACAAATGAGAACCACATCAGCTTGAAGCTCAACTTCTAAAACCCAAGACCTTTACATACCTCAGGAATGTCTCCACTCTCCATAGGTTCTGGTTCCAGATCCTCACTAATGTGCCTCCGAGAGCGGAACCGCCTATGGGCCGCTTCTTGGTTTATTTGTCTGATATTGTTATCTGAGTCAGATCCCACATCACTGCGTTGTGAGGAAATAAAAGCATGGGAAGGAGGAAAGGAAAGAAGAGAAAATAACGAGCGTTACACTAAAACACCTACTTCCCGTTGCTTTCAAAACCTCATTAATGCTTCTGACTAAAAAATTGTTCTTGTGTGTGGCAGGCTTCAGAACTAGACTGTTTAAGCCTTCCGCCCAAAGTAAATCCAACTGCAAGTACTTCACAAATGTCACAGAATCTTAGAACAGCACGGTGGAAGGGACCTCAAGGATCATCTGGTCCAGCCTTTCTTAGCTAAAACACGATCTAGAGAAGCCGGCCCAGAAGCCTGTCCAGCCCAAACTTAAGAGTGACTGATGTTGGGGACACCACCGCTTCCCTAGGGAGATTATTCCAGTGGCTGAGTGCTCTCAGGGTGAAAAGCTTTCCTCTTCTGCTCAGCTGGAATCTCCCCTGGACCAACCTGTACTTGCCACATAACACTGGAAACTAACACTCTTTGTACATCAAAGTTAGTAGAACAGAAAAGGAAAGCCCCCCTCTAATATAACTGCTTCACAGAAGTCTTGCTTAAGACTTTTTTCAGCCTTAAATTCGTAAATTCAAAACAGCTGTGCTTGCTGGAGAACACTACCCTTACTGATCATTTGGCACACACCCACAACACGTGGCACTACTCTGCCACCTACATTAAACTTGGTCGATGCCACTGTGTAGTCCTGTTGTTGTGGTTGACATAGTAAGTCCGGCCCAGGTTGTCCACCTTTTCTTCCCAGCCGGGAGGCAGCGGAGGAGGTGGCAACTCCTCCTGACGTTGAGATGCAGAGTCATTGGAATCAACCACATCCCATCCGTGCTTAAGAACGTAGAAAAAAAGAAATGAAAACCATTCAAGCTGAAGAGAAGTTACTTCCTTACTGCTTACACGAGTACGTACATGCAGATTCTGGCAATTTCTGAAGAGAAGTTGAAAATTACTTCAGTGTAAACAACACAAGAACAGAGTCAACTCTGTGATTACAGCGCGCACCTCATTTCAACGACACCCCCCCTAAAATCCCACCAGTCTGTTCCAACGGGGATTCCAAAGCATTTGTGTGGCTGTGTGCTCGAGGGGTGGCTAGCTG